CAAACATGGTAATGGTTACCCATGCTGGACAGTGTTTGCTGGAGCTTCCCGACTAAAACAAGCCTGGAAGCAGGAGTGGCACCCACTTCCAAAATGGCTTGCCTCTGGAAACTCTATCAACAGTGCTCAGGTCTTTCGTTCATAAGGTCGCTGTGAGTCATCTACGACCCAATGGCACCTAATGACGACAACGACAAATGCATTGGATCACAGAAAGAGAGGAAGACCCTCAATAAGGTAGATTGACATGGTGACTATAATAATGGGCTTGAGTCCATCAGGGATGGTGAGGATTGTGCAGGATAAATCAGGCAAGGTTCAGATCTGTTGTTCATAGTCATTATGAGTCATTCCAGTCTGGGCTTTACCACTACAGTACTGTAACTGTCCTCTTTCTTTAGTGTTCATAGGGTTTTCAGAGGCCTCTTATTTAGGAAGTAAATAGCCCATCCTGCTTCCTACACTGTCTTAATCAGGGAGATTTCAGATGGCAGCTTGGAAGGACAAAGCCAAGTATTATAATGGAATGTGTAGAAAGCTAGAATTGGAGAATAAAAAGAGAAGGAATCGCTGTGCATTTCTCAAGCTAAAAGAACTGAAAACCAAAGTTAAGCCTTCTGTCGCAATATTGAAAGATGCTATGGACAGTATATTGAATGACCCAGAAAACATCAAAAGAAAGAATTGATTGACACTGAAAAATTTCAGGAAGTATCATATTGAATAGGAGCCAACGATAATGAAGGAGGAAGTAGAAGCTGAAGGCATTGGCAGGCATTGCAGGCAGTGGCAAAAATAAGACCCCAGTAATTGATGGGGGATACCAATTGGCTTGTTTCAGACTATGCTAGGAAAATTGGAAGACAGCTGTCTGGCCAATGGTTTGGAAGAGGTCCATATTTATTCTAATTCCCAAGAAATGTGATCCAATTAAATGTGGAAACTATTGAACAATATCATATGCAAGCAAAATACTGCTGAAGATCATTTAAAAAAAACTGCTGGAACAGTACCTAGATAGAGAACTGCTAGAAGTTCAAGCAAGATTTAGAAGAGGCTGTAGCACTAGGAATATAATCGCTGATGTCAGATGAATTCTGGCTGAAACGAAAGAATACCAGAAGAATTTGTGCTTTATTTACTATATGCAAAGTTGACTGTGTGGATCATAACAAGTTCTGGCTGACATTGAGAGGAATGGGAGTCCCAGAGCACTTAATTGTGCTCATGCAGAACCTATGCCTGGACCAGAAGGCTGTAGTGCGAATAGAGCAAGGGAACACTGCATGGTTTAAAATTGAGAAGTGTCCCAAGGTCATGTTCTCTCTCCGTACCTATTAAATTTGTATGCTGAGCAAGAAGCTGGATTTGATGAAAAGGAGTGTGGCATCAGGATTGGAGGGAGATTCATCAGTAACTTGTGTAATACAGATGACACAACCTTGCTTGCTGTAAATGAGGAGGACTTGAAGCACTTGTTACAGAAAATCAAGGAATGCAGCTTTCAGTATGGATTACATCTCACTATCAAGAAAACAAAGATTCTTGGAGAGGAGATTAAAACTGTCAGTAGTTTCATCTTGCTTGGATCCATAGTTAACACCCTTGGTATGAGCCGTATGGGAATAAGTAGACACATTGTACTGGGAAAATCTGCAGTTAGGGACCTTTCCAAATTATTGAGTAGTATTGATGTCATCTTGAGGACTAAGGTGCATCTTGATTCAGGCCATGATCTTTATGATTACCTGCTATGTATCTGAGAGCTGGACAGTGAATGAGGATGACAGAGGGAGAATTGATGCTTTTGAGCTGTGGTTTTGTAGAAGAGCACTGAGAATGCAGTGGACGGCCAGGAGAACAATAGATAGGTCTTGGAGAGGGTGCAGTGGGAGAGCTCTTTGGAGGCAAGAATGATGAGGCTTAACCTCACATACTTTGGACATGTTGCTGGGAGGGGCTATTCTTTGGAGAAGCACATGATGCTGGGAAGGGTGGAGGGTTAGTGAAGGAAAGGAAGACCCTCAACTAGTTGGATTGACATGGGGCTTGCTACAATGCGCTCTTGTGTGTGTAAGGGATGGTGCAGGATAGAATTTAGATCTTTTGTTTAAAGGGTTGCTGTGAGTTGTACTCAGTCCAACAGCACCTAACAACAACAACAACATGAGTCACAGTCTCCAGAATGGTACCTAACGACAATAGTAATTTGATAAAGAAGGTTTATAGTATGTCGGTGAGTAGATATCTTTGTGAGTTGTTGTTAGGTTCTGTCAAGAATAACTCATTGCAATCCTGTGAATAACATGCAGATTGGAATTTTACCTTGTCCTGTGCCATCCTCACAATCTCCAACACACTTGACCCCATTGGCACTCTATTGTCAGTCTATCTTTTTGAGGGTCTTCCTCTATCTAATGCAGCTCTGTACAATAATAGTATCCTTTAAAAAGATATATCCATGTTGTTTTTGATGGCTTTATTTACCATAATTTTCTTAGCTTAATGCTCTCTAATTCAGTCCCTCCGGTATGACCTGAAAAGGAAAAGTTTCTTTAAAAGGTCATATGGGCAGATATACATGCTAAAATGTTTTGCACAGACATCTTCTTAAAATATTGTATAAGCCAATGACATAGAATGATTTTTTGTTATTGTTGTTGTTGCTTTGTGCTGTCAAGTCATCTGCAACTCATAGTGACCCTATGTACTACAAGCCCTAAATAACTGCTCTATCCTGTGCCAGTCTCATTGTCTCCCACACACCTAACCCCTATTACTTCAGTCACTGAATGAATCAATCTTATTGAGGGTCTTCCTCTCCTGTGCTGTCCCTCCACCCTCCCAAGCATGACGTCCCTCTCCAAGAACTGTTGCTGCCTTACAACATGTCCAAAGTATGTCAGATGAAGCTTCAGAATCCTTGCCTCCAAGGAGCAGCCTGATTTCACCCTCTCTAGGACAAACCCATTTGTTTTTTTAGCAGACCATGGTATATTCAGTACTCTTCTCCAACACCACAGCTCAAAGGCATCAGTTCTCCTTCTATCATTCCTAGTCCTTGTCTAGCTCTCTGATGCGTAACAAGTGATTGTAAAGGCCATGGCCTGTATCAGGCGCACCATAGTCTCCAGACTGACATCATTGCTCTTTAGTATTTTGGAGAGGTTTCTGACAGCAGACTTTCTCAGTGCAATACGTCTTTTAATTTCCTTGCTGCTGGTGCCAAGAGTATTGATTGTGGAACCAAGCAAACTAAAGCTGTTTACAGTCTCATTCTCTTAACTGTCATCACAATGCTGCCCATTAGCCTAGTGATGAGAACCTTTGTTTTCTTGATGTTGAACTTCAATCCATTTAGAAGGCTGCAGTCTTTGACCTGCAGCAAGTGCTTCAGGTCCTTCTCAGTTTTAGCAGGCATGGTGTGTCATCTGCATAACACAGATAGTTGATGAATCTTCCTCCAATCCGGATGCCACATTTTCCTCATAGAGGCCAGCCTCCTGGATAATCTGTTCTTATTGATTCAAAAGGTCTGAAGATAGGATGCATCCCTGGCGTACACCCTTCCCAGTTTTGAACCATGTGGTATTCCCTTGCTCTGTTCTGACGACGGCCTCCTGTTCCAAGTATAGGTTTCACTTAGTGTTCTGGAATTCCCATTCTTCTCAGAGTTAGCTAGTTTGTTGTGGTCCACACAAACGCCTTTGCATAGTCAATAAAACACAGACATTCCTCTGGTACTCCTTGCTTTCAGCTAAGATCCATCTAACATTAGCAACAATATCCCTAGTACCACGGTCTCTTCTAAACCCAGCCTGAACTTCTGGCATTTCTCCGCTTATGTACTGTTCCAGTCATTTTTGCATAATCTTCAGCAGAACCTTGCTCGCTGGTTAAAAGATCATCCATTTTGATTTGGATGCTTTAATGAAGTGATAGGATTTTCACTTAGCTTTTAATTTAAAAAGATTTTAAGTGGGATTTCAGGCTAAGCAAGGGTCATTGTGAAAGAGACTAAGGCTTTAGAATGCATTGAGTGTTTGCTTCGGCAGCACATATACTAAAACTGAAATGATACAGAGAAATTAACATGACCACTGCACAAGGATGACATACAAATTCGTGAAGCATTCCATGTTTGTTTTTTAAATGCATTGAATTATATAATTAATGTCCTTCTCCTCGTGAGGAGCCCTGTGTATTCTATGTTAGCATGTTATCTCAAAAGTCAGCAGTTCAAATTCACCAGCTGCTCCATGGAGGAGAGAGGGGATAGTCTCTCTCTGTAGAGATTTAAAGCCTCAACAATGTAGTGGAAGAAGATGGTTTCTGTGAGTCAAAATTGACTTGATGGCACTGGGGTGTGTTTGGCTTTGGTTTTCCTCTCCACTTTGATAATTTTCTCCAGGGTTTCCTAACAGTTAATATTGAACCATACGTTGTGGCAGTCAATTCAGAGCTAATTATTTTAAGTTCCCTCCTGAATGTCATCTTAGAGATCTTAATTTTTTTCCCATTCACAGGGTAGTTGGTGCTTTATTTCACATTATTTGGAATTCTGTAACTATTTCTAAAGCATATATCTTATTTTTCCTGTATATTTGCCTCATCACAAAATTTCCCACGGCTCTAAAGAAATACGGGTAGCTATTTTCAACTCTAAATGTATGAAAGGGAGAGAGAGATAAAGAGAACAATTTCTATTTTGAGAGTTGTGAACCTTAGGATTAATTTAGAAATGGATGAAAGGAGAGCTGGTGATACAAATGGTCAGGTGCTAGACTGCTAAGTGAAGGATGAGAAAGGCCTGGTGATCTGCTTCCATACCTATTATTATAGTCACGGAAACTCTTTGGGGCAGTTTTATACTATTCCATGGGGTCACTGTGGGTCAGAACTGACTCAACAGTGTCTTACAGCAAAATTAGAGGTCTGTTTATATATAGGCAAATAGTTATGATCGCTGTACTTAATTTACATAAATTTTTTTAAAATAGATCATATCAGAAGATATTAGTGAGTTACAGAAGAATCAGACTACGACTATGGCCAAAATTGCACAATACAAGAGGAAGCTAATGGATCTCTCCCATAGAACATTACAGGTAATAATTTGCATTCTTTTTCCTCAAAGCTTATTTTTTAAAAAAAATGTCAGACCTAGAGAAAAGTTACATTTTGCCACATTTGCCCTTCTCACCCCCATTATTTTTATATTTTGAAAGTTAATTGCAAACATTGTAACAATTCCATAATATCTGATAGCAGTTCCATTTAGATATTCTTAGGTGTCTTCTATAACTTTGTTTTTCTTCTTGGTAATCTAAACCAGGTTCATTTGGGAATTACGTTTATGTGATATTTTTAAATCTGAGAGTCCATTTTCCTTATCTTTTTTTTTTTTTTCAAGATGCCATTCACTTTTTCAAGAGTCAGGGCCAGTTTTTTTAATATTAATTCTCTTTTCTGGATTGTCTGATTATTTCTTCATAGTATATTCTAAGTTTTTTTCCCCTATACCTAGTGATTGGAGAACACTCTTCTATAACCTGAAATGATGTCTAAAGAATCTATGATAAATTCACACGAAACATTTTTTTGTAAGAATGCTTCCTAAGTGATGTGGTGGTGATTGTTTTTTAAGTGGTGTTATATGTGTATTAGTTTGTGTCACTTTGATAGACACACAGTAGGATATTTCACTATCAAGAGTGTCAGATTTGACCGTTTCATTAAAGTAGTAGTTACTAGAGCTGTTTTTTGTAAAGATACATTTCCCCCCTGTTTTAATTACTAAGTAATCTAAGTATATATTGAACAGAAGCTAGTAATGATTGGAGCTTATACAACAATGAAAAATGCTTTGTGGAATTTATAATTAATTTTCAAACAAAATTAGGTAGAAAGCAAAGAGAATGATTACATTTATAACTTAAATTAGTGATTTGGAAGAACAAGTAAAAGTATTTCACATCTAGAAATAAAAGGAAAAGATTTGAAACTTGGAGATTAGAAAAAAGATATCTGACACATGCATAACTTAAAAGAAGTTGTTGAAGAATAATGGAAGAGAATTAAAAAAGGATTTAAAATCATTAATCAAAGAAAAATCTGAATCTGTATATTGAAAGGACCCATTGAGGTCTAAATGAAAATCAGAATAGACACTCAGTTATATCCTGATAAGAAAAACAGCTGAAACTAGAGTTTTAGGCAGGAAAATCAGCATATATAAAAAGAATAATCAGATTGGCATCAAACCTTTATATCTCAGTGTTAAAGATACTAGAATACACCTATGGGATAAGTACTGCAATCCAGGAATTCCAAACCCAGGTTGAGTGACCATCAAGGGTGAAAGGAACACACTGGTGACTATACAGAAAGTCAAAATTTTTATCATCACATTTGTGAGGAAAATACTGAAAAGATTCCAACTAAAGAATGAATCATCCCTAATAGAAATAGGACTGGTTGAAGATGATTGAGCGGTAGCACTTTGCCATACGGTTACCATTACTAAATCTTTTTTTAAATTTTATTATTTTGTATGTGTGTACTGTCAAATTGGATCTGACTGGTACCGGAGGCGCTTGTCCCTCCTTCTCCAGCAGATCATCTGGTGGTTTTGAACCATGTACCTCCAGGATTGCAGTGCAGCTTCTTGCCACTAGGCCACCAGAGCGCCCTAAATCTTCATGGAAGTTGTTGTTAGGTTCAGTCAAGTTGCACACGACCCTGTGAATAACATGATCTGAGCCCTGTCCTAACCTGTGTCATCTGCATCATTTCGCACATACTTGAACCCATTACTGCAGTCACTGTGTCATTGCATCTGGTTGAGGTTCTTCCTCTCTTTCACAGACCTTCCCCCTTTCCAGGCATCATATCCCTCTAAGGAAACCCTCTCCTAGCAACATGCCCAAATTATGTGAGATGAAACGGTCATCCTTGCCTTCAAGGAACATTCTGGCCGTACCCTCTCTGAGACATATCTGTTCTTTTGGAAGTTCATGAGATACTCTGCACACTTCTCTAGCACCACAGCTCAAAAGCATCAATTTTTCTTCTGTCATTCTTATTCATTATGAAGTAGATGGCCTAATTTTTTCCTGCAGAATAGTTGATAGGTTTGGACCATCAACCTTTTGGTTAGTAGCCAAGCGCCTCAACCACAGCACCACCAGAGAAACTTTTATGAGAGGGAAATCCTTAGTGGATGAAAAAAAGACAGTACAACTTACATATTAAAAGGAGAAAAATAAAAGGAAGAATATCAACTATCATGGAAATGATAAACTTGTGAAAACAGGAATATTATTAGGCCAGAACAAATAGAATACAATAAAATCTATAAGCAGAAGGAAACTTACAGCTTTCAGATTTTTTGTTTAAAATGGAAAGGAAAACTATTTAAAAGTTAGTACTTTAGTGCTCATCCTAAAAATTAGAAGAACATAATAATAAGCCTAGAGCTGGCGAGTAAAAGCATTGCCAAGAGATGTTTGCCTTTAGGGATCCCTGTGCTAATCTCATATGCTTCAGAGTAATGTGCACTGTATTATTTTAATAGCCTCTGGGAAAAGCCATTATGTGTTTATGTATAAATGTTTTTGCATATTTCTATGAACAAGGGGGAAAGTACGGAAGAACGCTCAATATTGCATTACTCTCTTGTTTCTCAGCCTGCACACCTTGCTTTTGTAATTTGAAAAAAAAGGAAAATTAATTTTGAAAGCTTAGACTACTTCATGTTTATATCTAAAGAACACTTGATTTTAAAAGTTGCCAGCAGATGCCTTAAACTGGTTTTATGTTTATTTTTTATACTGTTCTTTAAAGGTATAAAATATGAGAATTTAAAACAAACCAAGACTTTTAAAAAAAATGTTTAAATCAGTACACTTGATGTTAGATGTTACAGCTTGCCTAACTAAGAAAGACCATAGCCTTCATATGGATTACATCTCATTGTTAAGAAAACAAAAATTCTCACCACTGGTCCAATAGGCAGCATCATAATTGATAAAAAAAACCCTGAAATTGTTTATGGCTTCATCTTACTTGGATCAACAGTCAACACCCTTGAGTCAGGAGTCCAGAAAACATATTATTCTGGGAAAGTCTGCAGTCAGGACCACTCCAAATTATTGAGGAGAAGTGATGTCAGTTTAAAGACCAAGATGTGTCCTAATTCAATCCATGGTCTTTTCAATCATTTGCTATGTATTTGAGAGCTGGACAGTGAATAAGGATAACAGGAGAATTATTCATGCCTTGAGCTGTGGTATTAGAGAAGAGTATTGAAAATCCCATGGACTGCCAAAAGATACGTCTTGGAGAAAGTACAGCCAGAATGCTCTTTGGAGGCAAAGATGATAAAGCTGCATCTCTTAGAGGAGACTGTTCCTTGGAGAGGGACATTGTGCCTAGTACAGTGGAGCATAGGCAAAGAGAGTAAGACCCTCTACTGGATAAACTATGACTGCAGCAGTAGGTTCAGGTTAGTGTTAGACAGAGTGAGCTCTTGGCTCAGAGGGTTACTATTAGTCATACTTAGCTTGATGGCACCTAAGAACAACAAATTAAAATTGAGATACTGAATTGTTAATAATCCTACTGTGAGAGTGTAATATTCATTCATCTTATCTTTTTCAACAATTGATTGTCCAAAAAGTTATTGCACAGTTGCTAAGAGATGACATTTGATAATGGTGGCTTTTCTTTATGTAGGTCTTAATTAAACAAGAAATCCAGAGGAAGAGTGGTTATGCCATCCAGGCTGATGAAGAACAGTTACGAGTTCAACTAGACACAATTCAGAGTGAACTAAATGCCCCTACTCAGTTTAAGGTGAGCACTGTATTTCAGGTGGGTCTGTATAAATTTCTTAATTAGCCTTCAAAATGAAATTAATTTTGTGTAAATTGTTCTTTCATGAAAATTTCATTTCTAAAGTAAACTTTCTGTGATTTGAGTGACAGTTTACAAAGCAAGTAACATTTTTCATTCAACCATTCATACACATTATGCTTTTTAACACCAATTATCTTTCTACTTCCTGCCCAGCAATTCTGATCCCTGTTAATCCTTCTGTACTTCTCTTTTCCCTTTCTTTAGTGATATTGTGCTAATCATCCCCCTTCTATATATTGGCTTTCCCTGCATTCATCCCAGTATGGGTTTGTTATCTATTTACTAATTTCACTTCCTCTCTTCCCATCCTAGGTAACCATCCAAGAATGAGTCTGTGTTTAAATCTTTCTTTAGCTTCATACAGTAGTGCTCTTATATATTTGTCTTTTTTTCTAACTTACTTAGCATAATGTCATCCATGTTATGCAGCATTTTGGGAATTCTTTTTTGTGTTGCATAATCAATCCGTTATTGGACTCTTTGTTTCCATCTCTTTGCTGTTTAAGTAATGTTGCTGTGTACATGGGTTCCCATGTATCTGATGTGTTACAGTTGCATCTAGGATTGTATACCTAGTAAAGGAGAGCTGGTTGCCTAGTGGGTAAGGAGTTGCACAGCAACCCAAAGGCATGCGGTTTGAATCTTCCCATTGCTCCCCTGGAGAAAGATTGTCAGTCTCCTGTGCAGTTTACTGCCTCTGAAACATGCTAGAGTATTAGCTATGAATTGGTTCCAGCTGTACAACACAGTATACACCTTATGATAACAGTATATGAAAGAGTCATACATAGGCTTGCTGGATCAAGTAGTGGTTCTCTTCCCAACTTTTTATAGAAGCTCCAGACTGTTTTCCAAAAGTGCTTGCATCATTTCACATTTTGCCAGCAGTTTTTGAGAGTTCTGTTCTTTCCACTATGCAACAGTGTTTGTTGTTTTCTATCTTACAGAACTCTGCCATTTTTGCTGGTTAAGGTGTATCTCATTGTTATTTTGATTTACATCTCTAAAACTAATGATCTTGAACATTTCATGTGTTTGACCATCTGAATGTCTTTTAATAGAGCAGTACTTTCCTTTCTAAAGAGGAAACATTTTCTTTTTGAAATGGTTGTTCTTGTAGCAGTTGTATTTTAATTTAGTCTTGTTTTCAGGGTCGACTAAATGAATTGATGTCACAGATCAGGATGCAGAATCATTTTGGAGCAGTCAGATCTGAAGAAAGATACTATATTGATGCAGATCTGCTACGAGAAATCAAGCAGGTAAATGCTGTTTTTTTTTAAATTTCAAACCAGGTGAACAATTCCATAAAATGTGAACAAAGCAAGGAAGTGTTCAATGCTGAAGGGCCCGGGCCTGGAGTGAGGACAAGAGGGGCCTGGGCCTTCAGCAGGCAGCGGCGGCTCCTAGGTTAGCATTAAGGAGCTATATTTAGGTTAATGGAGCCAGGGTCCAGGGCTGCTGGGTGGGGCCCTCAGTGATGTTGGCAGTTGCCTGGAACAGCCCTTGGGACCCAGTTCTGTGGTGGGCAGGGCAGGGGTGCTGTCCTCATGGGGGGACAGCCAGCAGAAGGAGGGCTGTAAACACTCAGACACATTCAAGGCACGGAATCACTGGAGGGTGAGGGAGTGGGTGAGTGCTGGTCAGGACCTGACAGTTTTAAATAGTTTTTCTCTAAAAAGGTTTCCCCCCCCCTTTCCTTTCTTTTTTTAAAAAGCTGTGAGAATGACCAGGTGCACTGTGGTCTCCAGGGATGGTGGCATCTCACAATTCTTGTGCTTTTTCCTTGGGGTTGGGAGGGAGGGGTAGGAGGCTCCCTGTAAACATCTAGAGTTGGGCTGGGAACGGGGGCTGGTGTTGGTCAAAGCCAGAGGTCCCAGACTGGAGAAGTGTGTACCCTTCCAGCCACAGGCCTTGGGGGACTCAAGGTTTGCCCCAACTCCACCATCCCTCATCATAGAATAAGACTGGTTAAAAACCAGAACAAATGCCCAGGAAGGGGGTACCATTCCTGGCACCTCAGACAAAAGCGGGCATCAAACGAGGTCTGTGGCCTCGTCTTTGGAACTGAGGGCGAGGGGTGAGGGGAGCCCAGAACAGAGAGAGGGTAAAGAAGGGAGAAGGAGCAGGGGCGGGGGGGTGGGGGGGAAGGCACTGGTGTGGAGCTTGGTCCTTTTGCCCCCATTTTTTTGTGGGGGTTATGGAAAGCAGAGTCAGCAGTGGCCCTGGTGGTACCATCCTGCCAGGCCTAATTCATTGCCCCTTAGAAAATGTTGCAGTCCTTCAGGTTGTTCTTGATGATGACATCAGTGACGGCATCAAACAAACTGCACGTTCTTGGTGTCGGTGGCACAGTGAAGTGCGTGTAGATCTCCTTGATGTTCTTGCGCATGTTCACGTCCTCAAACTTGCCCCGATGTAGCTGGCTGCCTCATCATACTTGGTGGTTCCTGTGTGCTCTGGGAAGCAGATAGTCAGGGGGCTGTGATAGTCAGATAGTCAGTGTGATCTTCTCAAACAGGTCCTCCTTGTTGAGGAAGAGGATTATGGGCGTGTCCATGAACCACTTTTTGCAGATGCTGTCAAACAGCTTCTTGCTTTCATGCATGTGGCTCATCTCCTCATCTTCAGCCAGCATGCAGATGATGATGGTGGTGATGCCCTCAAAACAGGGGATCCACTTTTTCTCTCAGACCACTGACCACCCATGTCAAACATCTTGAAGTGTAGGTCCTTGAAGGTGAAGTGCATTTCCATGATGCCTGTGGTCTTCACTCGGGTCTGCAGCACATCCTGCTGTGTGGGGGGATATAGTCGCTTTGTGCAGTGCACTCCGGGTCGTTCAGGTAGTAGGTGGCTGAGTTGTTGAGCTGGTACTTCCGAGAGCAGCCGAAGCAGCCCTGCACACCATGGTCAGCCCAGAGTCTCCGGATGATGCCAGACAGGTCATCTGGCAGTGTGCCGTGCTCCTCAGCTGCGCAGGACAGAGCAAACAGCTGCCTAGAGGCGTCTACTCGGGAGGGGTGAGCAAAGTCAATCTGTAAGTAGCCCATGGTCTTGACAGTGGCAGTGATGACCGACTGACTCTGCTCCTGCCACAGGTGCTTTGCAGGCAGCTCTCAGGTTGGCAATTTCGAGTGTCCACCTAACATTGCCGCACACTTTAAATTGACATCTGTGCTTAGAAACACATTTTCCCCCTCTGCATTACTGTCATTTGTGGCAATGTGTAAAAGATGCAATCAGAAGTAATCAAAGCACCAATGTTCTCCAGACTCTTAAAGTGTATAGCCATTGAGCTTATTAGAAATTCACAATCTCAGTTCTTACTGCAACTTCAGAATCTGCCTTTTGTAAAATACAGTGAATAATTGCATGCACATTAAATCTTGAGAAGCTACTACTGTAGCGTGCATCTCCTACCTCCCCACTTTAGAGTTATATGTGTTAATCTACTGATCTTTCCAGCCCTTAAGGCAACTAGGGAGAGTATGGAGTGGCCAGAACCTCAAGCCACTTGCCTTTAGGGCAACTTTGGATGAAAAGGGTTGAGAAACTTAGCTTATGTTCACTGGGATAAATACAGATTGTGTAAAGCTGCCTAACCATTGATTTTATCTAGAGAAAATACATTAAGATTGTAAACTCTCTGGAATGTCAGGTAGGATTGTTGGCATCGCCCTGCATATTTGGTTTTAGATCCCATTGAGTTGAGAATTCATAACCATAAAAACAGCAGATCTGAGCCTTGTCCTATCCTGTGACATCCTCATCATCTTGATATACTTGAGCTCATTACCGCAGTCACTGGTTGAGTCTCTTCTCTTTTGCTTACCTTCCCAGCTTTCCAGGCATGATATCCCTTTCCAAGAAATAGCTCCTCCTAACAGCGTGCCTAAGATATGTGAGATGAAGCTTCACCGTCCTTGTCTCCAAGGAGCACTCTGGCTACTTTCTTCAAGACTTACCTGTTTGTTCATTTGGCAGTTCAGGAGATAGTACTCTTCTCTAACACCACAACTCAAAGGCATTGATTCTTCCTCTGTCATCTTTATTCATTGTATAGCTCTTTATTCATTATTCAGCATAGAAAGTGACTGAAAAGACCATGGCCTAAATCAAGCAAACCTTAGATTTTAAACTGACATCACTGCTTCTTGGTAATTTGAAGAGGTCCCTGATTGCAGATTTTCCCAACACAATAACAGATGCAGCTCTGGAGATGCTCACTGGTCAGTGCCAGGAAATTTGGAGACCAGCTGCCTTGCTGACTTGACTGCAAGAGATCCATATATGTTCCTATTCTTAAAGAAGGTGATATAAAGGAATGTGGAAATAATCCAACAGTACTATTAATATCACATGCAAGCAGGATATTGCTGAAGATCATCCAAAAATGGCTAGAACTTTGACAGGGAACTGCCAGAAGTTCAAGCTGAGTTTTGAAGAGCTATGGCCCCAGGGATGCCATTGATGATGTCAGATGATCTTGGCTGAAAGCAGACACTATCAGAAGAGTATTTCATTGGGTGCCTTTAAGCCAATATTTTACAGAGTAGAATTGCCCTGTAAGATTTCCTAGCTTGTTATCTTTTGGGAGCAGATTACCAAATCTTTCTCCAGACAAGCCAATTGTATGTTCTGACTAATTTCAGGTATAAATTAAGATTTTTATCATGTGTGCATGGGTATTGCTGTTTGTTGTTATCAGGTGCTGCCAGTTCTCACTTATGCATAACAGAAATAAACATTGCCTGCACCTGTGCCGTCTTCACAAACATTGCCAAGTTCAAGCCCGTTATTGTAGCCACTTTGTCTGTCCATCTCGAGGGACTTACTGTTTTGTTCCTGGCCTTCTGCTCTTAGTATGATATCCTTTTCTGGGGCCTACTCCCTTCTGACAGCAGGTTCAGAGTATGTTGAGACAGAGGCTCACATTCCTGGCTTCTAGAAAGCATCTGGATATTCAATGCATCAGTTATTCGTCAGTCTTCCCAAGTCAGTGTTCCAAATTTCTCTTGCATAGGAAGCAATCAGAGATACCTTGGGTCGGTCTGGTGTACCTTAGTCTTCAAAATGACAGCCCTGCTTTTTAATACTGTATATTAGAGGATGAAACCAGGTTTCTCCTTGGAGGCTAGGGCATGTGGCCAGGATGGACCAGTCCTTGGAAAAGGACATGCTTAGAAGTGTGGAAGGACAGCACAGTAGAGGAAGACCCAGGGTGAAGTGAATTGACACAGGAACTAGGGCATTGGGGGTAGGTATGTCGGAGTCAGTGAGACTGGCTAAGAATGGGGCCGGCTTCAGAGCTGTTGTACACAGGGTCATGATGAGTCACTGGTGACTCAGTGACACATTACAACAACATACTTGTTTTTTTTGTGTTATAAACCAAATTTGGCTTCTAGATTCTTAGCATATATAAGCTAATTTAAGTACTATTTTCTGCATTTTAGTAAAATTAATAATCTGGTAAACTGGATAAAAAGCTATATTAGAGTTTATATGTGAAAACTACAATAAATTTGGATTGCTTTCTAAAATGATGAAAGGCAATACATGGTTTTGCAGTTGAAAATCCATTTGTGACCTTGGACAGATTTCTTGTCAGTATCTGGAGGGGACACAGTATACTCTGGAGAGGTGGGCAGAAGGATTTTAATGAGTTTTCTGTGATGTTCTTAAAACATCTAACATGTGAAGGAGACAGTTCAACTATAGTTCTCAACATTGATATCCTTATGTATTTTGACTTTCAAAGTATGAGAAGTCTTTGGTTTTAAGTGATTGTTTTGCCAGCCATCCAGAATATTTGCCACCACTCATCTGTCACTTTGTGGTACTGTGGGGACTTGTGTGTTGCCATGTGCCACTGATACTTCAAATATTGACAAGGTATTTTTAGGTGGACAAGTCAGCAGAGGTGTCTGTCGGGCTAAGAGGTGTCAGCAGAGCTTCAAGACTGAGAAGTAGGACCAGTAATTACTTATGCAGGCATGGCTCTAGCTAACTTTGGATAGTAGTGGACCGTTGTTCCAAGAGTGCTGGAAGACGAGTCCTCAGGTTGGAAGCGCCTAAAATACAACTCAGAAAGAGCTGTCTCAAAATGACTCAAACTCATTATTGCTTCATGACAGACTCATAGCTGACTGTCTTCATGTTTCTGAGGCTGTAAATCACATGGGAGGAAATTCTGGTTTTCTCCTTTAGAGTTGCTGGTGGATTTGAACTGCCAGAGAGGCTTTGCCTTTAGGTTTGCAGCACCCTTCAGGCTAGGCCACCAGAGTTCTCTTCAAAGTGACTGTAGAAACTATAGAGAAGACCAGGAGTAATAGAACAAGGCCAAGAACTATGAAACAGATTATTAATTGCCTGTATTTAAGTTCAAATTGAAGCTGAAGAAAATTAAAGCAAGTCCATGGAAACCAGAATAGGACCTTGAGCTTCTCTCACCTGGATTTACCTGAAGATAACTTTAATGCACTGAATGCTAATGATCCGGGACCAGAGTAGTTGGGGATGATGCCCAGAACATTATATGTGAAGAAAGCAAGTCAGTAAAAGACTGGAAAGAAAGAAAAGACGAAGGTCCGTATAGCCAAAAAGAAGAGATTATGAAATAAGGCCTAAAGAGAATATTTCATAGGTCACTTGAGACGCAGAAGTTGTGAGACTTTGTCTCCCATACTTTGAGAATGTTGTTCAGAGGGATCAGTCCTTGGAAAAAGGACATCATGTTTGGGGGGAAAAAAGATCCTCACGGAAATGGATTGACACAGTTAACTACTACAATCACTGGTCATTTAAGGATGATTCAGGACCAGGCTAGGTTCTGATCTGTTGCTTATAGGGTCCCTGTAAGTCAACTCAATGGTAGTTAACGACAATATCCATTATTTTGAGTATCTTTTTGTGTTATTCTGATAAAGGGTATGGCTGCCTTACATTATCTACATCTTCCGTAAAAATAAAACTGTTGTTCCTTGTTGTTACATGCCATCGAGTCAACTCCTGATTCTTAACAACCCAGTGTACAGCATATCTCTGAACCCTTCCCAGTCCTGAGCCAATTACATAATTTCTGACATACCTACTACCTACCCTCTTGCTACTCTAGTTGTTTATCAGTCCATTTTAGCGAGGGTTTTCCTCTCTTGGCTGTCCCTCCACCCTCCCAAGCATGATGTGTCTCTCCAATAACTCGTCCTTCCTTGCAACATGCCCAAAATATATCAGATGGAGCTTCAAAATCCTTGCTTTTGAGCAGCAGCCTGGTTTCACCCTAAGACACACCTGTTTTCTTAGCAGTCCATGTATTCAATACTCTTCTCCAGGACAACTCAAAAAGCATCAATTCTTCTGTCAGTCATTGTCACACTTTCTCATAAGTATCATCAATAGCAAGTAATTGCAAAAGACTGTGGCCTGGAACAGGTGTACCTTAGTCTCTAGACTGATATAGTTGCTCTTCAGTACCCTGGAGAGGTCCCTGACAGCCGACTTTTCCTAGTTCAATTCGTCTCTTGATTTCCTGGCTGCTGATACCAAGAGTGTTGATTGTGGAGCCAAGCACCTAAAGCTGTTAACAATCTTAATCGAGTCACCGTCTATCATCATGCTGCCAATTGGCCCACTGGTAACTTGACAGAGTGTGGAAACTAATAGCACATGTGCAAGATCCTGCCTAAAATTATTAAAAAACAATTGGAATAGCACATCAGCAGAGACCTGCCAGGTGTGCAAGCTGGGTTTATAAAAGGCTGTGGCACTAAGGATATTATAGCCAATGTTGCATGGATCTTAGCTGAGAGCATAGAGTATCAGAGGAATGTTGGTCTGTGTTACATTGACTACACAGAGGCATCTGTCTGCATGGATCACACCAAACTGTGGCTGACTCTAAGAATGAGAATTCTGGAACACTTGGTTGTGCATATGTGAAACCTAATTGGACCAAGAAGAAGTAGTCAGAACAGAGCAAAGAAACACTGCATGGTTCAAAATGAGGAAAAGTGTACTCCAGGGATGCATCCTGTCTCCAAACCTTTTCAATCTGATGCACTGATGCTATGAGGAGGAATGTGGCATTGTTCTTATGTATCTGTATTTGCTCTTTAGAATATTTGATTTTATTCTAAGTCACTGGAAAGTTTTATTAGCAAGCGATAGTATAAATATTTAAATATATATTGTACCTAAAAGTTACTCAGTATTACTTGTAAAATAACAAAGTTCTTTCCTATAGGTGACTTTAATACATGTAATATTTTTTTCCTTTTATTCATTCTAGCATTTGAAACAACAGCAGGAAGGCCTTAGTCACCTGATTAGCATCATAAAAGATGATTTAGAAGATATAAAGTTGGTGGAACATGGATTGAATGAAACCATCCCCATCAGAGGTGGAGTCTTCAGTTGACAGTTGACAGCTTTGTGTTGGAGGTTTTGGACATGCATCCTCTGACTGCATCAGGCCCTCCTTGAGAACTGACTACAAGGTGGGGGAAAAGGGTGGAGAAAAAGGAAAAAACCCTCACTTGGCCTGGTTTCTGAGGTCAGTAGACAGTTCATCAAATCTGAAATAATAGTCACAGCTTTTCAAAGATAGCCTTTGAAAAATTCATACCTAAAAGCTCTGTCTACTTTAAAAAAAAGTACAAAATTACCAAAAACGTATGTACTATTGTACATTTTTACAACTGCATTGTACTTTAAAAATAATCAGTGTTTAAAGATCATTCTCCATTGAGCCTGGACTCTGCTTTCCATAGGAAGTAAATATGAAATGTCTATTAAACTGTAGAATTACTTGGCTGCTAGAGATTTGTACTTCAGAGTGTAAATGCACATCACTTTTTATATTTGTGAATTCATCTGTGGGAGGAGTAAAGAAAATCCAAGAATCTTTACTGATTAATGTGGTTTTCTTTTCAATCTATAAAAGTTTGAAAGTATTTTTTTTATATTATTTTACTTTTTTGAAACTTGCTGACAATAGGACATAAAAAATTATCCTTTTTGCAATTTTTGGTTTTTAAACTTTGTTTCTAAAAATAAAAACATAAATTTTTGATTTGTAATTACTTTGCTATAATTCTGTCTGGTGTCTTGATTGTGTAGTTTTCGGGGAATGACCATTTATGTGTACACAAGTGCTGTAATGAAAGAGTAAGATTCCAGAATTGTGGGCTTTCTTTTTGTTTCCTCCCAAGGACTTTTTGTCAGTGTTGATATATTTCAACTAGAATATGATAAAAAACTTAATTTCAATATCATTCTCTAAATGTTGTGTGCTGTTGAGTCAGCAGTGACTCATTGCTGACCTCCCAGCAATTTTTCAGAGGCTGTAAATCACATGGGAAGAGACTGCCCATCTTTCTTCAGAGGAGCAGCTGGTGGATTCAAACCACCTTCCTTTGAACTGGCAGCTCAACACTTAACCTTTAGGCTACTAGAGCTCCCTAAAATATCATTAGTGTCAGAAACACTACAATAATCTAAAGTAGGTAACATTCTGATATGAAATAGTGATCTTTGTGAACCAGGTCAATTATACGTTTTCTTTTCCTTTTATTATAAGATTGCACATGGTGGCCCCCTCTCAAAATACTTTGGGCTTCTGTTTGCTACTTTGGTTTATCCTGAGGTGCCATGAGAAGCAGCCGGTCAATCTGTATGGATAGTGCTGAGTGTGAATCACTGCATTTAGAGTTCTCTTTAGGAACGTACCAGACTAGTGTCTTCCCCAGCTGCAGACTGGTTTACCAGAATAGGGGTCTGGGAAGTTTAGAGCCGATTTCTCCCTTACCCCTGGGTTAGCTACTGAAGTTTTCAAATGCTTTGGCCAAGTTTATGGCATGTTGTTTATTATATGATCTTATATGTATTATTTGCATCATACTTTCCTACCCATTGTTGCAGCCTCATAAGTATTAAGAGATGAAGTTACTTCCTAGTTCATGCTTTACCTTGGCCCAGATGATGGGAACATCATCCTTTTTCATGCAGCAGAAGAAGGACGAATTTGTTGCTTACAACAGCAAGATCTGATGAGAATTAACTCATGGGACTATATCCTCTGGTGAGCATATCATTAATGATGCATACTAGGTTTACTCCATTAGGTTTTCATGTTCTGTTGTTAGGATTCTATGTACTTTGCAATTCCACAAAGGAAATATACCTGGACAGCCCCTCACCTGCTCACCCACCCCCACACCAGCCATGCAACTGATTCCTACTCACAGTGATCTCGTGTGTCAGAGCAGGACTATACTCAAGGGCGTTTTCAATGCCTGATTTCCAGGAAACCTCCAGGCCTTTCTTCAGAGGTACTGCTGGGAGGACTCAAACCATCAACCTTTTGGTTAGTAGCCAAGTGCCTTTAATGCCGTTAACTGTATCATTTGGAGACAAGACAATGTTCTACCTTTTAGAGACAGCCCCAGTCTCTATTTGGGGAGGAGAAAGACCCACTTTGACCTTAGGTCCACGTTATATTCTCCAACACAAATCAGAAGTTCTGTAGTTCTCAACAGGCTAACAGTGCTGACAGCCTACACTCAGTAATCTGAACATTAAGGAGTAGGATTCAGATACACCAAACTCATCTCCTATTTTAAACTGGTTTTCCTTCTCTTTAGAAAGTTGTCTTAAATCCTTTTTTTTTTGAACACTGGCATAGTAAATGTGCTGGTTACAAAGTTCATGCTTTTTTCAGTCTGTTCAGCCATAGGAATACATGGGAGGGTAAGAAGGGTACTGTGCTATGTATATGTAACTCACAAGATTCAAATGAGAGATTTATGTGAAGTACTGTTGTGTTCGCAGAAATATGAAATACGTATATATTAAGGGAAGATGAAATTGAGGGAGGAAGTTATTTGAAGTTTAGGCTTTCAAAGGGATGAACAGATTATTTTTACAACTCTTAAATCAAGTATTTAAACCACTATAATTAGTATTAGATAACCCAGTATCTGGCAATTCTACTGGACTAATAACTAAATAATCTTAAAGTCTTTTATTGAATTCAAACAGAAGTATACAGGGTTTGGGTTTGCTTTTCAGTCTTATTACAGAAATAAGTAGGTTAATTCTATTGACAACGCTTAGCTGGACTAACATTCTCAACTTGTAAAATGACTAACAAACATACAGTCCTCATTTTATCAAGAGACTTTGGCCACCAAGTGAAAAATACTTCATTCTTTATAAATTCCTGTTCTATCTCTATTGAGTATTTCAAATAATAAAGAATATATCATATTACAGAGAAACAAAGAAATTTATAGCAGAAGCACAGATTAAAATTGTAACAGTTCCAAACAGTGGAAGGATCATTTCGCTGGAGGATGCAGAAGGATGAGTCTTGGGGCCTGGAACTGGAAGTGGGCCTGGAGCTGTTAATGAGAATGTACAGTCATTAGTAAAGTCATTGTGTCAGGTGTCATCCCCCTTTACATATATCCCAAATACCTAAACGAAGACATTCAAATTGAGTTAGAAATCTGAAATACTTCCAAAGAGGAACAATTTTCAATTAAATGTCATGCCATACAGAGACATATGATCAAGGTTTTATCTAGTATTTAAAAATGAAAATATGCATATATCTAATAAAGTTCCTTAGGTTACTAATATCTATATGGCTGAAACAATTTTTGTTGATGTTGTCCAAGTTCTCTGAGGTTTCTTAGCGATTTGCAATTCTACTTTCTCTTTATGCAAAGTCAAGTTTAATTCTCTAGCTCTTTGAAGCAAGAGAAGTGTGTGTCACATGCATGTGTGAATACATAACAAATGCAACATAACACAGTTGTTTTTGACCATTAAGTCCTGCAGGCAGATAATTTTTTTTCTCTCTCCCTCCATACTTAATAGTGCTCTGAGAAATGATTCCCTTCCATCTGACCTAGTGGAGTACAGCCATCTTGAAATGATGTTTCACTGCCCTTACCAGACCACTTTAATTCAGTGGTATGAGTTATAGTGGTCTAAGTTCGTCTTTGTTTAAAAAGACTATAGAGAAAAGTGTCCAAATGAGATTATCACTTGGATTTCATAGTAAAAGCCATGAAAAAATACCCAGGAAGTATTATTATACAGTCAGTTTTATAAAATGTCAGAGTTGTGTGTATGGACACACATGGAAAGCAGGCGGGCGGGCAGAAGAACTCAGGTGTTAGTACACTACTGTAGACCAGTGGTTCCCAAGGAAGGCAGTTCCTTAAAAGGTACTGACTTTAAGAGGTTGTTTTGAAATTTGTCAGTTTAGCTTTATTAATCAGCTCTCTTAATTATCTTTAATTAGTAAAAAGGTTCAAGACAGTATTGCACAACTGAAAATCGCTGTACAGCTTTCAAATTAAAACTACCAGGCATAATCTGTTGATAATTACGAACTTTATTAACTTTGTAAGTAAACCAGAATAAAATTTAAAAAAAAAATTTAAAAAGCAAGTTAAAAAAAATCTATTGATAATTATCAAATTAAGAACTAATTTAGCACATAATAAAATACTTTTGGACAATGTGGTTTTTGAATGTTACTACTTTTTATCTGTTGTTGGGTGTTACCAAGTCAGCTATGACTCACAGTGATCCTGTGAACAAATCTGAACCCTTCATGATATACACCTTTCCTAGATTTGATGATGTCCTTTTCCAAAGAGTAGTTTCTCCTGACAAAATACTCAAAGTAAAAGACAAAGTTTCACCATCCTTGCTTTAAGAAGCACCCTGGTTGCATTTCCTCCAAGACAGACTTGTTTATTCTTTTGGCACCCCATGGGATATTTAATACTCTTCTCCAACACCACAACTCGAACATTGATTTTTCTGTCATCCTTATTCACTGTTGAACTTGCAAATACATGGTAAGCAACTAAGAAGACCAGGTCTTGGACCAGGCACACCTTAATCTTCAAACGTACATCCTTGCTCTTTAAAGAAGTCCTTGACAGAAGATTTCCCCCATGCAGCATGTTTGTTTGTTTTTGCTGTATTTTCTTATTGGTTTGCATATAATAATTCATATACATTGTATTTTATAAAATTAATTACTATTCATCTTTGCCTATTATTACCCCATCTTTTCGAGTCCCCACTGATGGAATCTTTTCCTATTCCTTTACTCCCGCAATCTGCCCCACTATGCTATCCTAGTGAATATTCCTTTTCTGAATATTTATACACATCTTCCTAGTTACCCTATTTTTACAGTAATGGTCTTATGCAGTATTTGTCATAATGAAACAAAGTTCACTCCTCATAATGCTCTGTAGGTTTTCCTATATTTTAGTAAATCATTACTTAGTGCTACATAGTATTCCATTGTGTGAATGTACCACACTTTCTCTATTCATGTGTTGTTAATGTTTCCAGTTTCTTGCTATTGTGAATAATGCTGCTATGAACATAGGTGTACATATCTCCATTCATTTCTCAGTTCTAATTTCCTTGGGGTATATTCCTAGCAGTGGGATGGTTTCATATGGGATTTCTGTATTCAGCTTTTTAAGGAAACGCCAAACTGCTTTCCAGAGTGGATGGACAATCCCACCAGCAGTATATGAGCGTTTCAGTCTCTCCACATTCTAATATTTATTGCTTTCTGTCCTGTTAAACTTTGGGACTGCTGGGGTGAGATGGTAGCTCAGTTGTTTGGATTTGCGTTTCTGATTGTCAATGCTTTTGAGCATTTCTTCTTGTGTTTGTTGAGCATCAAATGTCTTCCTTTGAGAAAAATCTTTCCACGTCTTTTGCCTATTTGATTAATGGGTTATCAGCCTTTTTTCTTGTGGAGGCCCTGCCCTGTAGGATTCTGTAAACTTTTGTTATGAGTCCCTTGTCTGATATGTCATTGCCAAGTGCTTTTTCCCAGGTCTGTAGGTTTGTGTTTCACCTTACTGGAAAAAAGGTTTTGGTGCACACAGGGACTTAATTTTTAGAAAGTTCGATTTGTCTATTTTATCCTCTTCTAGTTATGCATTGCACATACATATGCAAGCCTACTTTTGCCACAGGCTTAAAATAGATGGCTTCTAAGTTTGGTCCCATTTTGTCTCTTATGATCTTTATGGTTTAGGATCCACCTTGATTTTTGTTTGTAGTGTGAGATGTGGATCCAGTTTCATGTTTCTACAGGTACATGTTTTCTTGTGCCAGCATCTTTTGCTTATGAGATTGTCGTTTCCCCGTTTGATAGGGAAGTCAAGTACCAACTGACCACAGGTAGATGGGTTAATTTCTGGGTTCTCAATTCTATTCCATTGGTCTGTATGTGTGTCGCTGTGCCAATAACAAGCTGTTTTGGCTACTTGGCTGCCAATAACAAGCTGTTTTGGCTACTTGGCTGTGTCGTAGGTTTTTTTAAACAACTTATTTTTTTTATTTTATTATTGTGTGTGTGTGTGTGTGTGTGTGTGTGTGTGTACACCATCAAATCAGATCTTACTGGTACAGGAGGAGATTGTTCCTCCTTCTCCAGCAGAGCATCTGGTGGATTTGAACCATGCACCTCTGGTATTGCAGTACACCTTCTTGCCACTAGGCCACCAGAGCTCACCATGTCATGGGTTTTGAGATCAAGAATTAGTGTTGTACTTCCTGCTTCATTTTTATTTTTCAAAAGTGCTTTGCTTGTTTCAGTCTCTTTCATTTCCAAGTAAACCTACCAACTGCCTTTTCTTTTTGAAAAATGAGTCTGTTATCTGTATTGAGATTGCATGGGGCATGTAAATTGCTTCTGTTTGGATTATAATTTCCATTATGTTGAGTCTTCTAGTCTTCCTAGTCATGAACAGGGAGTATTTTTCCATTTAGTTAGCTCTCATTGTTTCTTGAAGTAATGTGTTATAATTTTCTTATAAAGACATTTTGTGTCTCTAGTTAGGTTTATTTCCAAATATTTTATCTTGTGGTTGTCTACTGTAAATGGTATTGATTTCTTAGTTTACTTTTCCATGTTTTTTTTATTGCTGTAGAGAAATCTGATTTTTTTTCTTTTTAATTTATTTAATCTTGCATCCTGCCACTCTACTAAATTGGTCTACTAGGTTTAACCGTGTTTTGTTTGAGTCTTTGGGGTTTTCTGTTTGCACTATCATATAACAACAGGTGTTTTTTTGTGTTTTTTTTTTCATATAACAACAGTTTTACCACCTCTCTGCCATTTGGATGCTTCTTATTCTTCCTCTTGTCTTAGTGCCCTGGCAAGTACTTCCAATACACTACTGAATAGGAGTGGTGAAAGTAGGCATCCTTGTCTGGTCCCTGTTCACAAAAGGAATCCTTTTGTTTTTCTCCAGTGAGAAGAAGGTTGGCTCTTGGTTTTACATATATACTTCTTCCTATGTTGAGGAAATTCCTATACTCTTACTTTGTGTACAGTTTTAATTGGAAAGGGTGTTGGATTTTGTCAAAGGTCCTTTCTGCATTAACTGATATGATCATGTGGATCTTGTTCTGTTCCTATGATTTCTTGACCGATGCGGTTACCATGGATGATGACTGCTGATCCAAGTAAAATGAAATTACTGACAACTTCAATCTTTACTCCAACTGTCAAGATGTTGCTGTTGGTCCAAGTAGTGAGAATTTTGTTTTCCTGCTGTTAAGATATAACCATATCTAAGGTTTTCATTTTCTGTGCATAGTCTTTGATCTTCTGTGGTAAATGCTTCAGGTCTTCACATTCAGCAAGCAAAGTTGTGTCGTTTGCATAATGCAGGTTGTTGATGGTCTTCCTCCAACCTTGATGCCATATTCTTTTTCATATTGTCCAGCTTCTCAAATTATTTATTTATACAGGCTGAAAAGGTATGGAGAAAAGACACAACCCTGTTGCACACCTTTCTTGATTTTAAACTATGCATTGTTCTATGTACAGATTTTTCATGAGCACAATTAAGTGTTTTGGGATTCCCATTCTGAGGAGTTTTTACCTAGTGCATACTGTATTTCTTTCATTTTCAGCTTCCAGTCTCTCTCATATGTAGCTGTGTAAGTAAATATAATCATCCATCTACTTCATTAAGTCTTCTAGTATAGTCTAAACATTTACATACTGAAATACACGTATGTAATGTTTTAAGTTATAGTCAGATATTATTAGATTTTTGTTATAGCACAAGTAGATCTTAGCTATTATTATTTCAAAATTGTAAAAGAAATTTATAAAATATTTGTTACCAAAGGGACACTGAATTAACAGGGTTAAGAACCACTGATAGTAGTCTCTAGACAAAGACAAAAATGAGGGTTAAGAAACAAAATCAAATTGCCTCCAAAACACACATGCACACAAACATTTAGATATATTCTATTATTATGTTGCCTTAAACTCTTAAATTACATTCCTTTTCATGAGAGAAAATAAAGGTCCTGTTTTTTCTGTATCCCAGAAACACATTTATCAACTGAGGAAATTAAATTCTTACTCGGATAGTCGAGATTTCCTTGACTTTTGTCCTCTAAAACAGAAACAAATTATGAGTTAATTGCATTGTGCATGTATTTATGCAGACAGTAAAAATAACCTATGCTGTTTTCTTTCTTTGAGAGGCTAGCTAAGGCTCATGGGGTAGGGCTGTAAGTCGAAAGATATGTCAGGTTAGTCAGAAGGGCTTCATTTTCACTCATTTTGCATATTTTTATTTTTTCCCCTCCATTATAGGCATGTGTTTGAATTAAAATAAAAGTTAAAATTTTGCTTACAATTAATCCGTTTCTTTTGGATTGAACCTTGATGTCCAAACAATAATACTGATCTCTACCTTTTGGGTGTGGACTACATGTACTATGTGTTGAGCAGTGTGTGAACGTTTTATGCACACTGCCACTTTCACTTTTTACTGCCTTGTCAGGTAGGTATAGTCATCTGTATTTCATAGATGTCCCTGCCCTCATCTGTGAAATGTGAGATGTGACTTAGACCACACAGCAGTAACTTGCAGGAGGAACACCGGATTTCAAAGGCTTGGCTTTGAATGACTATGCTCTACTCCCTCCATGTGTGTGCTAGCATTCACCAACTACACTATTCCCACATTCTCATAGCTTCAAAGCCTGCCGATTCTAGAGGTCCAAGACAGGTGTGTGCTTTCTAGAACTAAATACGGCTAAAAGATAGTGACAAATCGGGCCAATATGAGGCCTAGCTTTTCTAACCTACTGTTCCTTTTAATGAGGGAAAATAAACTTCACATTTTTCATATTTTCTAAAATAGGAGAGTTTAACTTTCCTATTTTCCATGCCCTCATCTCTAAAGTGGCAATAATAATAACATCTATCTCAATGAACTAAATAGGTTCTGACACTGCATTTTTACCAGCCTGCACTACACAAATCCATCCAGGAGAAAGCACAACACAACACAGTCCCAACAAACTTAGTGATCTGTTTGCTGAAGAAGATGGGAATCCAGTATGAGGACAGAGGCTGGCCTGATTCTAGCACAACTGTACGCACCCCGCCTCCCCCAATGGTGTGACCTGCAGCTACAATGGTGCCGCTCTAACGGTGTGACCTCTAATGGCACCATTCCTGCAGCTAGATTCCCTTATTGTTATCAGGTCTCCTCGGGAATGAGGTCGGCCTCATTCTGGAACAGACAAGTGTATCTACGAAGCCAACCATTCCACCTTCAGGTTAAGTGACTTACTCTATTCGGCCTGGAGAGCCACAAAGCAGCCTGCTGATTATACTACAAAGATCTGTTAACATTTCCGCCATCCGGCTTGCTAACTAAGATGCGCATCCAGATGCTCTCCCCAGACCTTGTAAGACTGAGGTAAACAAATCTTCAAGGACTCAAACCCCTGTGATGCCTCCAACCCCAATAAAATAATTACCAGGTTTTTCGTCCATTTGTACTTTCATTCCTAAATGGAAAAAGAGATTTTAAGATGTTACTAAAGAGAGCAGCTGTTTACAGGAAAGAGCCCTGGTGGTGCAAGGGCTAAGTGCTTGGCTGCTACGTGAAAGGCTGGTGGTTAGAACGCATCAGCCACTCCACAGAAGAAAGGTGGCCGACTGCTCCACAGTAATTACAGCTGTCGAAACTGATTTCCTACTAGGTAACTATGAGTCAGAATCGACTTGATGGCAATGGTTTTATTCAGGTCTTTAAATCGAACTGGAAAACTGAGCTTTTCCTCTTTTTATACATGTGGATACAGAGGTCACATCTAAAGTGAAGTAACTACAAAGTTATCAAGGAGAGTGACAGTGGGCCTCATGGATCCAGGTCTGCCTCACACAGGCACACTACACCATTGCAATCCTGAAAGCACACAGTTCAAACCCACCAGCTGATCTGTGGGAAAAGGATGGGCAATTTCCTCCCAAGCAGTTAACCGCCTCTGAAAACTCACTGGAGCGTCAGCTAGGGGTGGGTTCCACCTTGATGGCACACAGCCACTACCAAATCTTGTTGGGCAGCCACCTTTCAGAAGCACCGCACTGTGGCTAGTAAGCCCCAAGGGGGGCCGACTCCGGTGCAGCAAGCCCACGAGGTGGGATCATATGTGTCAGCACTGTTGCTAAACATCAGTTCAAAGTCGTGGCCAAATCAGCAATGCTGGTTCTGGGTCAGTAGGAAAGAGAGGCTGCTGGAACTGCATTCTGAGCCTGTACCTGCTGCAGGAAACAGAGAGTGAATATTCCGTGTCTGTACACTGCATGCAATTTCCACAGACAACAGTGTCAGCCGCAGTTCCTGCGTCTTCCTCAGAGGCCCTCTGTGCTCAAGCCCACTATAATCTGTCCCATTGAGGGACCCCCTCTTTTCAACTGACTGTCTGCTTGCCCAAGCATTATGTCTTTCTCCAGGGACTGGCTCCGCTAACGTATGTGAGGCAAAGTCTCACCACCCTCTCTTCTAAGGCATGTTTTCACTGTACTATTTTATAAGACAGATTTGGTTGTTCTTTTAGAAGTCCATGGTATATTCAATATTCCTCACCAACACCGAGTGCAATTTGCCATCGAGTCTATTCTGACTGATTTAACTCCATGTGTGCCAGAGTAAAGCTGTGTCCCAAGTTGTTTTCCGTGTCAGGTTTTTCAATGTCAGATCACAAGGTCTTTCTTCCAAGGCATCTCTGGAATATTCTGGGGTAGGACTGTACCTCCAATCTTTTGATTAGCACCAGGTGCATTAGCTGCGTGCACCACTCAGGGCATTTCTCTACTACATGGTCATTCCCATAAACAACCCTCATTTTTAAAGTGCACTACATGATCTCAGCCAGAAGTCCAGGCTGGGTTTAGAAGGGGTCATGGTACTAGGGATATTGTAGCTGATGTTAGATGGATCTTAGCTGAAAGCAGAGAATACCAGAAGAATGTATATCTGTTTTCATTGATTATGCAAAGGCATTTGACTGTGTGGATCATAACAAACTGTGGCTGACTCTGAGAAGAATGGGAATCCCAGAACACTTAATCGTGCTAATACGAAACCTATACTTGGACCAAGAGGCAGTCGTCAGAACAGAGCAGGGCAACACTTCATGGTTCAAAATTGGGAAGGGCATACACCAGGGATGTGTCCTATCTCCATACCTTTTCAACCTGTATGCAGAGCAGATTATCCAAGAGGCTGGGCTTTATGAGGAGAAGTGTGGCGTCAGGATTGGTGGAAGACTTATTAACAATCTGCGTTATGCAGATGACACAACCCTGCTTGCTGAAACTGAGGAGGACCTCATGCACTTGCTGCAGAGGGTCAAGGAGTGCAGCCTTCAGTATGGACTGAGGCTCAATGTCAAGAAGACAAAGATTCTCACCACCGGACCAATTGGTAGTATCAGGATGGATGGTGAAGAGATTGAGATTGTTCACAGCTTCAGTTTGCTCGGCTCCACGGTCAACACTCTTGGCACCAGTAGCCAGGAAATAAAAAATGTATTGTGATGGGAAAGTCTGCTGTTAGGGACCTCTCTAAAGTACTGAGAGCAACGGTGTCTCTCTGGAGACTAAGGTGTGCCTGATACAGGCCATGGTCTCTGCAATCACTTGTTATGCATCAGAGAGTTGGACAATGATGGGAGGATAGAAGGAGAATTGATGCCTTTGAGCTGTGGTGCTGGAGAAGAGTATTGAATGTACCCTGGACTGCCAAGAAAACAAACAGATTCATTCTGGAGAGGGTTAAACCAGGCTACTCCTTGGAGGCAAGGATTCTGGGGCTTCATCTGACATACTCTGGACATGTTGTAAGGAGGGACAGGTCCTTGGAGAGGGACATCATGCTTGGGAGGGTGGAGGGACAGCGCAGGAGGGGAAGACCCTCTATGAGGTGGATTGATTCAGTGACTGGGGTAATCAGGATGGGTGTGTCAGGCAGTGCAATCAGGGTTTAGGGCTGTTGTACATAGGGTCGCTATGAGTCACAAATGACTGGACGGCACATAACAACAACAACATGATCTCAGAAGGAGGGGGGGGAAATTAAGAACTTAGTAGTACTCAGACCTTAAAATTTAGTTTTCTAAAGTACTTACACATGACCTGTGGGTAAGCATGACAAGTACTAGTGATGTTTGAAAGATGATCAAGAGAAAGATGAAGTACAACAGGGTCACAGCTCTCCCAGTAACGTCACACTACAAGGGTAGAGCAGGGGCCCTCAGCCTGCCTGCCTCTAGGTTTTTTAACCACTTCTTGTTCAGGGATAAAAAAACCCCAACTTGGGACTCCTTTTCCTCTCCCTTCATCCTTTAAGTTGTTCCAAGGAATCCCACTAGAATCACTATTCAGTTTCTCTGGTGATACAAGCTCAAGGCCTTTTAATGGCACTGCCCCCAGCTATAGAATTACACTTTTAAATATCCATTGTTCAAGGATGAAATCTTAAAGGTATGCCAAATCTGTCATGAAAAATATACTAAAAAAAAATGCAGAATCACAGGGTTGGTCATAAAAGACCTGCTTCCTTAACTCAGTTATCTCCTGGACAAAACACTTAGGCCCAAGATGTGTTTGTTCTCCTGCATGCCCAATGGTGGCAATAATTCATGCATGCTCCGATTTAGCAGTTTTTCCTGTGAGGAACCTATCATTGTTTATCACGTAATGAAATGGGTTCTAGAATTTTCACTCCTAAACAAGTGACTTGCCCTTGGCTCTATTTATATTGTCATTACTGTTGCTGTCAGGTACCAGTGAGTGGAGGATGGCAACCGTATGAGAAATAGATCTGAACCCTGTCCTCTCATCTGCCTTCCTCACAGTCTGACACACTTGAGCCCACAGCTGCAGTCACTGTGTCAAACCACCTAGTTGAGGGTCTTCCTATTTGCTGTCCCTCCATCTTTCGAGGCTGATGTTCTTCATGGAACAGCCTCTCCTAACAGTCTGCCCAAACTATGTGTGGTAAAACTCTATCATCTTTGCCTCCAAGGAGCACTCTGGCTGCACTTTCTCCGAGACATATCTGTTTATTTGTTTGGCAGGCCATGGGATGTTCAGTGCTCTTCTCCTACACCACAGCTCAAACGGCTCAAAGTTATCAATTTCTCTTCTGTCATCCTTATTTTCTGTCCATCTCTCAGATGCATAGCAAATGACTGAAAAGACCATGGCCTGAATCAGGTGCACTTTAGTCCTCCCACTAACATCACTGTTCCTCAGTAATGCGGACAGGTCTCTGATGGCAGACTTTGCTGGTTCAATATACTGCCTAATCTTCTGACTGCTGGTATCAAGTGTATTGATGTAGATCCAAGTACGACAAAAGTCACTGACAGTTTCAATCTTCATCTATCGTGATGCTGCCTATCAGTCCATAGGTAAGAATTTTTGATTTCTTGACATTCAGATACAATTCATACTGAAGGGTGCAGTGTTTATCTTCTTAGGCATCAAGTCAACTAAGACTCACAGCAGTCCAGTGAACAATAGATCTGACTCTTGTTCTATCCTGTGCCATCCTCATAGTCTGTCTTGCTCAATCACTGTGGTATCACTGTGTCAATCCACCTCGCCTCCTTTTCTCTTTCTCTAAGCATGATTCTTTCTCCAAGTACTGGTTTCTCCTGAAAATATGCCCAAAGCTAGTGGGGTGAAGTTAAACCATCCGTGCCTCTTAGGAACACTCTTGTTGCACTTCTGTCAAGACATTTTGTCTGTTCTTGGTATATTCCATATCCTACCACCACCACACTTGAGAGGCATCAATATTTCTTCCATCATTCTCATTCACTGTCTAACTTTCAGATACATAAGAAGCAATTGAAAACACCATGGCTTGGATCAGGCACACCTTAGTCTTTAAAGTGACATTCTTGCTCTTTAGAACTTTGGAGCAGTCCTTGACAACAAATTTTCCCATCACGTTTCCTTTCATTTTTTGACTGCTGCTGATGCCATGGTTGTTGATTGTGAAACCAAGTAAAATGAAATAACTGATAACTCTTTAATCTTTTCTCCACCTATCATGATGTTGTGTCTACTGGTCCAGTGGTGAGGATTTTGGTTTACTTGATGTTGACATGTAACTCACCCTGAAGCTCTAGTCTTTGATCTTCAGCAGCCACTACCTCAAGTCATCTTCACTTTTTGTAAGGAAGGTTGGGTCATCCACATAACACATGTTGTTGATGAGTCTTCTTAATCCAGTGTTGATGCCACAATCTTCTCCATGTTGTCCTGCTTTTGAAATTATTTTCTCAGTACATGGACTGAACAGGTATAAAGAAAGGACAAAACCCTGACACACAACTTCACTCATTTTAAATTATGCAGTGGTCCTATGTTCTGTCCAGACAACTGCTTCAATTAAGTGTCCTGGGATTCCCATTCTTCTCAATTTTATTCCTAATATGTTATAATCTACTCAAGTCAAATGCCTCTGTATCAGTAATAAAATACAAGCAAATATCTTCTTAGTATTCTCTGCTTTCAGCCAAAATACATTTGACATCAACAGTGCTATCTCTTGTGTTCATGGTCTCTTCTGAATCCATCTTGGATTTCTGGCAATTCTCTGTTTTTGTACTATCCCAGCCACTTTTAAGTAATCTTCAGGAAGATTTTACTTGAATATAATACTATTGATATTACTTAACAATTTACACAATGTGTTGGATCACTTTTTTTTGGAAATTAGAACTAATATGTATCTCTTCCAGTCAGTGTGCTGTCTTCTGTATTTGCTCGCTGAGTCTAGTGAGCATGTCCAGGGTTGAACATCTGGTAAGCACAATTTTCAAACTTCTTCTGATGATATTGAGAGAAAGCAGCACCAAAGGTTTAAACCAAAAATTTAAACAGATTTGCATTGAAAGTTTTTTATCTATAAAGACCCTCACTTTGAAAATCCAGACAAGGTTTTCCATAGATTCTGTGCCCAAACCAATAAATTACTTTCTCATATTCCAGAGCTCCCAGGCGCTGCTTATATGTTAGCCAGAGCTATCAGTCACCCTGCATGTGAAGTGTGATGGCTCCTGAGAACTTCTACCAGCAGACATATTAGCTGTAGAACCTGGAAGTTGCTGGACTGCGTGCATCTTGGTCCCACAGCCTGGCCCTCAGTTATGTTTCCAACCGACCTAATACTCCTGTTCCAGAAACACTGTTACAGGGACACATGGAGGAAAGACATTTTCTCTACTTTCTTTTCCAGAAAAATCATTGTAGAATGACTGGCAAGCAGCTGTGAGGGAAATATTCATGAGATAATATTTTCTTGAATGCCCTCAGGAATCCTTATCTCAAACATGGATCCAGAGAGTAAACTAAAAGATGTCTTACCAGACATGCTGAATGAAAAAGCCTAGTTACAAAAGGACAAATACTACCTACATAAGACCACTGTTATAAAAATAGGATGGACATGGAGGATGGAGGGAAAACAGGCAGAGTGGATAATGAACGCTGCATTAGAACAGGTGAAGGGAAGGTCTGTCCAGAAGAAATGGAAGCTTAGGTATTATGACAATGAACAATATGGAACAAGATGTGCATTACAAAGGGAACTGGGGAGGGGGAGGGAGGAAAATGTGTATCATGAATGAACGAAAACCCTACTTTTCTCTAAACTTTCACTAAAATCACAAATGGGGGCCAGATATCTTACCAGGTATTTCGGTGGTTTCAAGGTTTTTCACACCTAACGGGATAAATAAATATTGGTTAATGTTACTAAGTTATGTTGTATTGTTAGTATCTTATTTTTCTAAACTTCCAATCCTCCAAGAAACAAACAAACAAAACACCCTAGTCCACAGTCTAGATGGAATACCCTCCCCCCAAACTAGTCCCTGTCTATCCAACCTTGGCTTCATAGAGTAGTCTAAAATAGCAATTTTTAATGATGTTCTCAGAGTCTCTGCTTAGCTGGTTATCTATTAACTCTGATAACTCTGGAGAGGCTATGTAACCCCTTGGAGCTTTAATCTTTTATTTATACAACAGATATATTTACCTTGCTGGTTCGCAGTAAGTGCGCTGAGTGTATTAAGTACATAAAAGTACATTATCCAGAACTTAACTAGGTCTTGTCAGGTACCATGGAGCACAGTTCCAACTCATGGCAACCTTGGGTATATCAAAATAAACTGCTGCCCAGTTCTGCACCATCTGTGAGATCATTTTCATGTTGTTATCTGCCGCTGAGGGCCGGCAACCCATAGCGATCCTGTGCAAATTAGTTCTGAAGCCTGCCCCGTGCTGAGCCAGTCTCACTGACTGAGTCTCTGTTGAGTTCCACTGTTTTAGCTTAGATCCTTCCTCTAACTCCATATGCCCAGTGAGGTTCTCAGTCCTAGGTTTGTTTTTCTCTCACATCTCCTCCGAAACTCATAGCTCAGTCAAGAGAAGTAAAAACATGACTTACTAGGTAACAGAGTAGGTTCCAGGCTTTCCATTCCTGAAGATGGGAATAAGAATGATTTCATAAGAAAAAAAATGCAATCAGCTTGAACATTAATTTAACCTTAAACTATACAATGCAAAATTCTGAAAGGGTTTACATGATAGCAGGAAGAGAAGTGAAGAGGGAGAAGACAATACTCTGTAGCCTGAAAGATTTATGGTGAAAAGTATGAATGGTGAAAGAGGTCCTTCTCCAGTTGAAACAAAAGCTCTTGAATTTATTTATTTATTTATCTGTTTATTTTGAGATTCAGTCTAAAGACTAGGATCTAAGGACATGACAGTGTATTAAAAAGAGTAGTAACACTTTCTCATTATAAAAGAACTATAGTTCTACATAACTTGGAAAAATATAGAAAATTATTAAAACTTATTAAATGATTTTTAAAATTATTAAAAATAAAGACTAAGAGACTGGAGACTAAGGAGCATCTGATACAGGCCATGGCCTTTGCAATCACTTGTTATGCATCAGAGAGCTGGACAATGACTAAGGAGGATAGAAGCAGAATTGATGCCTTTGAGGTATGGTGCTGGAGAAGAGTATTGAGCATACCATGGGCTGCTAGGAAAACACAGATTCATCCTGGAAAGGGTCAAACCGGGTGGCTCCTTGGAGGCAAGGATTCTGAGGCTCCGTCTAACATACTCTGGACATGTTGTAAGGAGGGACATCATGCTTGGGAGGGTGGAGGGCAGGCGCAGGAGGGGAAGGCCCTCTATGAGGTGGACTGATTCAGTGACTGGGGCAATTGGGATGGGTGTATTGAAGACGGTGCGATTGGCACAGGACAGAGCAGAGTTTAGGGCTGTTGTACATAGGGTCAGTATGAGTCGCAAACGACTCGACGGCACATAATAACAACATTCCTTCTTAATTGTTTCCAAGTTTTACATTCCAGTCACCAATTACCATGTTCAGTCAATTTTGGACTGCAAGATTTGGTAAAAATTCTCAATTTCTTCCTCTTTGGTCTAAATGTAGGAACATATATTTCAATAATAGTCAAATTAACAGATCTTCCTTGTATGTGTATGGATAATAACCTATCACTCACAACACTGTATTTCAGGATAAAAGTTGAAATTGAGTTTTGACCATGAATGCAACACTATCCTTTTTCTGTTTTTCATTTCCAGCATTTCATACCATGTGATTACAAAGTCCTTACTATGTGATACCAGATCATTAGGCAGCTCTAGAGGCCTAGAGATAAGAAACTCCACTGCAGTCTCAGAGGCAGGGAGTTCAAATTCACCAGCTGCTCTGTGGGAGAATGGGCAGTCTCCTCCTCCCTAGTTTACTGCCTCTGAGGGCCTGAAGTATGTGCTACAGAGGGTCAAGGATTGTAGTTTCAATATGGATTGAAGCTCAACATCAAGAAGACAAAGATTCTCACCACTGGGCCAACTGACAGAATCATGATAGATGGAGAAGAGATTGAGATTTGGATTTGTTAACAGTTTTAGCTTGCTCAGTTCCACAATCAATATTCTTGCCACCAGCAGTCCAAAAATAAAAAGATAAATTGAATTAGGGAAATCTGTTATCAGGGACCTCTCCAGAGTACTGAAGAGCAAGGATATCAGTCTAGACACTAAGGTGTGGCTGATTCAGGTCATGGCCTTCACAATTACTTGCTATGCATCAGAGAGCTGGACAATGACCAAAGATGACAGAAGAATCGATGCCTTTGAGTTGTGCTGCTGGAGAAGAGTTTTGAACATACCATTGATTGCCAAAAGAACTACCAGTTCTGTCATGAAGAGGGTGAAACCATGCTACTCCTTGGAGGCAAGAATTTTGACACTCCACCTCATATACTTTGGTCATGTAGCCAGGAGAGGCCAGTCTTTGGAGAGGGATGTAGTACATGGAGAGATGGAGGGACAGTGCAGGGGAGGAAGACCCTAGATGAGATGGATTGACAAAATAATTGGGGTAATGAGGGTAGATGTGTCAGACACAGTGAAGCTGGCTCCGGACAGAGCAGGGTTCAGAGCTACTGTGCATAGGGTCGCTATGAATCACAAGTGACTCAACAGCAGATAACAACAATAATAACCAGGTCTTTTTACAAAGATAGAAAGGAAAAAAAAAACCAACCCAAAATGTATGTCTAAAGAGACTTTGAAAATTGCATTAGAGTTTTGAGAAGGCAAAACAAAGATAAAACATGAAGTCAAAGAGCCGAACAGAAGATTTCAAAGGACAACTTGAGAAGACAAAGCAAAGTATTATAATCGCATGTGTAGAGAGCTGGAATTGGAGAATAAAAAGGGGAAAACTTGCTCTGCATTTCTCAAGTCGAGAGGACTGAAAATTTAAGCCTCAAGTCACAATATTGAAATATGCTATGGACAATATACTGAATGACTCAGGAAACAACAAGAAAAGATGAAACTCATAGTCACTGTACCAAAAAGACCTAACTGACTGACTGACACTGAAAAAATTCAGGAAGAACTATATGAACAGGAACCAATGGTAATGAAGGAGGAATTGGAAACGCCATTGTTGGCATGGGCAAATAATAAGGCCCCAGGAATCGATGGATACCAACTGACCTGTTTCAATTAACAAATGCAGCCCTGGATGCATTCACCAGTCTATGCCAGGAAATTTAGAGAACAGCTGTCTTCTGGCCAATGGATAAGAAGAAGTCTATATTTGTTCCAATTCTCAAGAAAGGTGACCCCACAGAATGTGGAAATTATCAAACAATATCATTAATATCACATGCAAGCAAAATATAGCTAAAATCATTCCAAAACAGCTAGAACAATACATAGACAGGGAACCACCAGAAGTTAAGGCAGGATTTAGAAGAGGCTGTTGCACAAGAGACATCATTGCTACTGTCAGATGGATCCTGACTGAAAGCAAGAAATACCAGAAAAATGTTTATGTTTTATTGACTCTGTGAAGTCATTTGACTATGTGGATAATAACAAATTATGGCTGACATTGAGAAGAATGGGAATCCCAGAGCACTTAATGGAGCCCACGGGAAACCTTAACCTAGACCAAGAAGCTGTTGTGTAAAC